GTACATAGCGTGGGGAGTTCGGTAGGAAATTGAATCAAACGGGAACTGAGAAAGCGAATTTGCAGCTGTTAGGTTCACAAAACGAGATACTAGACATCTGTTACACTTCTCGCCGATCACGTGGGTTATTTCTCTTGGCTACAGACTCATTGTACGAAAAAGAGTTTGAGTTCGTTTTGAGATCTTTGACTGCCGAGTTATGGATCATACGCCGAAAGTATAATCAAGGCCATATGGTAATCATGCTTTCCGTGAAATTAGTTTTGGAAATAGAAATTCCACTTTCCGTTTGTTTTTGAGATTTATTTGAATTTATAGAACCGATTTGCACTTAGGATATGATACGGATGTGATGGAAATCGGGAGTTACTTTTTGTTGTTTATGGATGGGAAATGAATATAGATTCGTTCTGGAAATTGGATTTGCGCACGGAAATGAGTAAAGTCAAATGCATTTGAATTTGCTTTCTGAAATGTTTTTCCTTCTTAGAATTTTTGGTAATTTAAGAAAATTCTATTTGATTTATTTGGATGGAATTGTATTTTTATTCTTAATTGTTTGTTTGGATAGAATTGTATTTTTATCTTTAATTGTTTATTTGTATTTTAATTTATATATTATACTTAACTTCTGTTCAATTCTTGTTTTTACTATTTGTATTCAATATGTATTTTGTGCAAACTAATTATGTTTATAATCCTATTTATCAACGCCATCGACTTGTATTTATCCTTTGCAAGATGGCAACATGTTTTTTGTTTTGAAAATTGTTGGTGTAACAGGAAATTGTGGGAAGTTCAGTTGCTGTTCCGTCTCTCGCTAGAGGAAATTCTAAAGCTGATGTCACTTGTTATTATCTTTCATTACAAAATTAAAATTATTGAGTTTTAAAATCTAGAGTCTTTTTAGTTCTGTAAGACACACATAATATTTCGAGTACCTATTTATATCAGAAAAAACTTCAGAAATTATCCTTGAAATTAATGAAAACTTAAGTTATTTTGTGGAAAATCATTATTTTGAAAGGGTTTTTTGTTTGAAACATATACATAATTTTCAGATATATTTAGACAAATTTATATGCGTTCGGTGTGTATTAAGTTTAAATTAGATTACACACCATTGATTTCTTATTCCAGAATAATTTCATTAAATTAATTATTTTCTTTAAATAATTCTGTCTTCTATATAAGTATTTGTATATAAAAATCAAATTTTCAGGTTGAATATTTAAAATTAACTTTAAAAATAACAAGTTTTAGATTAAAGAAATACAACTATGTATTATATTTATAATAGTTACTGTTAAAATACTATTCCAATAACAATGAGATACAACTGTCTCTATTCGGAATTAAGAAATATAATTCAATTTTTCTCAATGAAATAAATAATTTTATTCTTAAAATGGGAGTTTCTAAGATTTGTATTTTACGTCGCTATTTCTTGTAGCTTTATAGCATTGTTTGTACAATATCTCTTTGTTCTGTTTATTTTTTCCTAAATTTTATTAAATGTATTTCGTTGAAATATTAATAAATATTATTCAGTGTCTACTTATATCGCTTGAAATCTACTTTATACAAGTCAAAAATATCTTTCAATGGTACACTTCTGTTATTGGAAATATAAAGTGTTATTATCAGTGTCTGTAAAGACTATATTGCAAGTTACAATACCTTTCCATGTTATAATATTTCACAAAGAACTATTTAAAAAGTATGAAATTCTATAATTTAAAGGAGAGTTATCTTTGAATGTATCTTTTGCTTGTATTTACGACATAATTTTTAGTTATATGCCATAAATAAAATGATCAAATTATACTTCAAAATATTAGTTTAAATAAATTATATCGAGGAATAATAACATGATATATATTTGAAGAATATATTTACTGTTATCATAAGCCCCATTGTTGTGGACCTCAAGCTAATTTTAATTAAAAAAAACCCCAGTTTTCAGAAACGTTTAAACTATTCCTGAACATACGTTTTTGGTATAAAAATAATTAACATATACGATTTTTTTCTCACTAGTTTTGATCATTTTATGTAATAATATTTTTTAATAAGATTCCTTATAATATTTTACAGCTTTAAATAACATTGTGTCAAAAATTTCCATTTTCTTCAATGAAACTTGGAAATATACATTAAAATATTTTATAATATACATCCATTCACATGTAAAAAATACCATTTGAAAGTATAATTGTATTTAGGACTTAGCTTGTTTCATTTATTGATTATATGGTAAGGAATCCTTATGGACGAAGTTATTTACATATATATAATATAGTCTTATATTATTAATTATAATTTACTCTCTCTGTGTGTGTTTTCAATGCTACAGCATAAGAGTAAGCAAAATTAATTTTGAAAACAAGAGTCAACAAATTGAAGTACATGAATAATTGAAATTACGTGGTGCGATTGATTTTGTAAACATGCATATATAAACAAATTCATTTTTCATAAATTCTGCTGCAGAACTATTTATTATTTCAAATATTTTTCTTATAAATGTCTTTTTTATTTGGTATATAGCTTTCATATTTTTATTTATCTTCTTTTTTTAGAATAAAGCACGATTTCCTTTATGTTTTGTTTTTGCTCTCCTTTTGATTTCAAACAAAATTTGAAATATGTTTTTAATATAAGATTACAAAGTCTAAGCTTTTTTTCCAGTTTAGTATGCAGCAAATCGCATGGCCGAAAAATAAAATACAATGATTCTTTTCTCCATTGTTTGAATTTAATCAAATATTTAGTAATAAAACTATTATTTATTCAAATCATTTCGTAAAGTTATGTTTCATTGAAAATTTCATGAATACAAAGGTTTTTCTTGTTTTACAATAAAAATAAGTAACAATCGAGATATTGAAAAATAAAAGATGTCTCGTAATAATAGGGTTGTTACTGATCAGTGAATGTGCATTGATATTGGAAATGCACGAGTGTTAGATTAGTTGTATTCAATCTAATATTTACGGCATTTTTATTTTCGTTATGAAAATAAAATATATTTCATAATTACTATAAAAACAAGTATTTGTAAGAATAATTTATTCTATTTAAATGAGACAAATAATAGTCTCAGGGATATGTAATACCTTTTTATATTGTTTCTCCTATCAAAAAAGCGAAAAATACCGCATTACATCTTTCTTTTTTGATGAACCCCTTTCAGATCTCTATTAGAGGTCCGATACTATTAATATGTCATGTGGAATAATGGGATGTTCCAAATTAAATTGAAGTAGATTAAGTGACTTGAATAAGTACAATTATGAAGCATCTGCAGAGATGACCATGTTGTCTAGTCTCAAAAATGATAAATTCCGTTGGTAGTTTTGTTTTTTGTATTTAGTACAGTTTTATCACTTATTCTCACCTGTTTTTTGCATTTTAATAAATAAAGTTTAAAATAATATATTACCGCATTACAGTTATTCTATCGCTGATGTTGTTTTGTTTATTAGGGTCTAGATCAGTGGGTTGCTAATATTTAGTACAGAATTATTGAAATAAATATATAATATTAGAGTTGGTGGTTAATTTATAAGATAAACTTTCTATTTCAAATAAATCATGGTTAAAAATAGGATTATAATGTGGATAATTTCTTGACTTTCCTTCTTTCTTTTATATATAGAAATGTTTTTTAATTTCTTTTAAAAATATTCTGGATATCTAAAACTATTCTTCTCCTGGTTGCACCAAACTTTTTTTTCTCCGTTGATTTTTAAAATATCTTTTAGTATTTTTACCACAAGTTTATGGTTCATTGTTCTCCAACACAAGAACTTTGGAAACTTTTATAACTTCACATTTACAATAACCCTTCATTCATACTGCCTAGAATGAAAGATATCCCTATTTAACTTAATATAACTTGCACTGATTAATTCAATGGTTATGATTTTCATATTTGGTTTCATCAAAATAAGTCATAGAGTATTTTAAACTTTTACACCATCTCTTATATCAGGATCTTGGGATTTTTTTAACAATTATACAGAGTAAGAACTTGAGAAAAACCTTAAATCTGACATAGTTGTGTCTAAATTTACTATCATAAAGCTCATAATTTCTAACGAACTTTTCAAGCGTAATACGATTAGTCAAATTTAACGTTAGCTGTAAGGTAAGCCTCAGTTTTTTAATGAATTTTCGAGATTCGCTCTAAAATCATAGCAATGAATACTGTAAATATTTGGTCAGAACAATCCGTTTGAAATGACTTTTTCTAAAGCTGAACATTATATTTAAATAATTATATATGTAACAAGTAATATTAAAAAAAATTAAGTCCATTCATACTTTGGTCAACATTTTTTTTTACTTCAATTAATTTTTATTAAATTGTTACAATCAATATGAATATGTATGGACATATGACAGAATCACAATATTAAATGAAGGGATTTTCCTCGCAATTTTCCATTTTTTTTAATATATGGTGTTGGGTTATTTTCGTTTGTTTGTTACTATTTATTAATTAATTAAATTTAATTACCGTAAAATCCGGCGTATAACGCGCACTTTTAACAGCAAAAAGTAAGATCGAAACTTAAGGGTGCGCGTTATACGCCGGGTATAAAAACGATAGCTTTAAAAATTACAAAAGAGATGAGTATAAAGAAAAAATGTACTTTATGTATCGAAATACTGTTTATATAAAAGAAATGAGAGAGACATATCATATGAACGAAAAGAGTTGTAGTTCTAGAAGTTTGCTATTTCTTTCAAACGTCTAGGATAATACGTCCAATAAATGACTTCATAACATAAGAGAGCAATGTATACCAATATTTCAATTTCTTCGTAAGAAAGGGAGTGCGCGTTATACGGCGGATATAGCTAAAAATTTAAAAAACCAGCTTGAAATTATAGGTGCGCGTTATACACCGGTGCGCGTTATACGCAGGATTTTACGGTATTCTAATAAAATTAGTGTAGTAAAAAAGAAATCACTTTCTCAGAAATTAGACCATTCCTGGTGGGATTCAAACCCACGACTTTTAAATTAGAAGTCCAACGCAATATCCTTTGCGCTACTTTCTAGATATTCTGTTTATCTGTTATTTTCGGGGTTGTTACTATTTATTCATCTTTTAATCTAATTAATGAATTTTTATTTGAAAAACCCGTATTAACATAAAGTGTCATTCACTACAAATTTAAAAAAAATGTATTTGAACTTGAATGGATGAACAGAAAGTATTTGATTAACGATTGAAAATCTGAACAAGATATATCTATCTATTTATATATATAGGGAGAGAGTGAACTAATATTAGAGGAATTGAAAAATACCATTTTAGCATAACATTCCATATTCATAACCATACACACATTATGCTTAATAACTAAAACTGTTAACTTATACACATTTTAGGGGGATTTCGACTACAAATCCCTTTTACAGATTTTGATAGGTATCAATACAAATTCGTACATAATGGATTGTGACTAAACTTTATTAACAATCTATTTTAGTCCTTTTATATTAATTTCAATTTTCAGGGGAAAGTGTTTGAAATATTTCATTCCTTCAAACATTTTAAAATTGATAAATATTATTAAAATTTGAAATTATTTTATCTAATTTTACAAATAACTAAAATTAAAATAAAATAAAAATTAGATGAAATTAATATACCGTTGTGAATTCTATTAAGAGTTTTAAAAATATTATTCAAAAAAAAATTCTGCATTATCATTTATCATTCTTTTTTCTACTATAAGAGGTGATTATAAACTAGTGGCTAAAGTCTTGAACTTCGTAAAATTGATGGAGGTATGTGATTCCTGTCTTTTTATCAAGAAAATTTCTAGAAACAGATATATTTGATGAATGAAATGAAAAGGTGCAGCTTGCCAATGCTACCTCGTCCTTCCACAGTGACATTCTTGGCTCAAAATCAAGGAATCCACTTCAATAATTTTTGGTATTCTAGAACAAAGCTTCTCAGCCAGTTTTCGTTTGCATCCTCTTCCACTTAAATAAATATTTTTGTGAATTAAGGGGACACAGTACGATTCAATAGTCAAAAATTGGTCAAAAAATCAAATCTAATTTTTCTAGCCTAAATTATTCTTTATATGCTTTTCTATATCCTCACAAAATTTGAAAACTTAAAAAACTTAGAATTATGACAGCTTTTACATTCATTTTTATTCACATCTATGGCAAATCAAAACTTTAAACTTACTTATCTCAGAAAGGTAAAATAACTAGTTTGTCTTCATCTAAAATGCTAAGGCTTTTTTTTCTATTGTGCCTAATGCTTTGATTTTTTTTTACCTATTGTTAATAGTACATGTAAGAAAAGTTGGTATGCATTTTTGAATTAAATCAATACTTATTTTTTTAAAAATAATTGAAGTTAGAATTTGCAAATTTTTCAAGGAATTTTCAATAAGGATTAAAAAAAGAAGTATTGTACAAATATCAATCGTGTTATTGCAAAACCCATACCAACTTTTGTTATACATAGTTGGACTTACTTAAAAATAAAATTTCATGCGCGTACGTAAATTTTTGTAGGAGGAGTAGCATTTTCAAATCACTTCACAAAATTTAAGTTTTTTCCTTAAAAAATTAAATGGTTAGCTTTTTATGAAATTTTGAGCGCAAAATCTGTTTTACACAGTATACACACATAGATGGCAACCAAAAAATTTTTGAAAATCCTTAAATTAAAATTTTTTGCTTAAATCGTACCATGTCCCCTTAAGAAGCAATAGAGGTATATATGTATGTCGAATTTACTGAGTGGTATCCCCATTTTACTTAAGGTATTGATAATTTTTTGGTAGTCTATTTCTTGTTAAAATTGATGAAGCTGGATACATTGGCATCTTTTTTTCATTTAACATATAGAAAACACTCCCACAGAAAACACATAGCATGAAAAAGACACACGAGCGTTTTACATGATGAAGATAAGAAGCAGCGTGAATTTTCCACAGAATCTCGGCTTTAAACAAATTACAGACCGGAAGTTTCAAAACTCACATGACCTCCTAGAACTTTTCTTCTGATTAGTCCGGATAATCGGATGATGTTTTTTATGCAATTCTTGAATTAAATACGATGAACTCTTAATTTCAAAGAAATAAAATTACGATTATATTCCGTTATGCGAATAATTAACAGTTATTTACTTACAAGATGTCCTGGAGAGTCAGAACCATTATAAGTTATGCAAGAAATATAAAAAAAAATTAAGTCAATTCCTACTTAGGTCGCCAAATAAAATTTTTATTTTAGTTATTTTATTAAATAGTTACAATTAAAATAAATTAGTATATACATATGATAGAATCACAATATTAATTGACGAAATAGAAAGTGATTTTCCTTGCAATTTTCCATTTTCCTTTCGATACATGGCTTTGGACTTTTTTTTGTTTGTTTGCTACTACTTATTAATTAATTAATTTTAATTATTCTAATTAAATGGTATAGAAAATAACACACCACCAGATACAGTAAACTACGAACGTGAACCTAGCCTTCTCTGGAAAATTTTTTCATTATGAAAGGAACTGAATATTCTCATTAGTGAATGAGAATATTCAGTTTCCAGAGAATAATAGGCATGCTCTTGTTTACTGCCAAATGTTATTGTTTACTTCATTACAATAGCAATTCTGGGAGGAATTTTTCACACAGAAAGACGTAGAGCATTTCTAATTACATAAAGCTGAGTTAAGCGAGTAAGTGAGTTTGGGATTTTTTTGGCGCAAGAACCAATTCTGGCTATACTGCGCCAAGCAATGCTGAGTTAAGCGAATTATCAAAATTAAAAAAAAAATTTATTTTAAATAAATGTGATTTATGCAATTTTCGAAATATAATATTTACAGTTATTGAAAATGAAGGAAATCTATCATCATCTCAAGTAAAAATTAATTTAATGATTAAGGGGAAATATACTTCAAGGCAGTAATTAATTATCGAAATTCGTATTGGTTTTTAAGACCACACAGTAACTTTTACCAAAATGATTTTTGGGCAGAGTAACAATAAAAGTAATTGATGTTTTATATTCTGGTTACATATTAATAAGTTGAATATGAAAGTAAAAAAGTCAGTTTGACCAGCCATTGTCTTACAATTTGAGTTAACAGTTTTTTCAAACTTTTATAAAAAGCTCCCTTTTTAAATTTTTTTTATTTATTTTAAGTTATTTATCTTTTTTAAATTATTGCAAACAAAAGTTAGAATGGATTTGAAAATCTATTCCTTTGTTGATTTTTAATAATTATTTTTCTAGAAAGACCTGGAAAAATGTCGAAAATTTTTAAAATAGTAACTGTAGAATTTTTTCGAAAGAATAACTAAAGATCTCAGCCCTAAATCCATACTAATTTTTATAGAACATACGTTTGGGAGTATATAAGAAATTCCCGGCTCCATGACGAACAGAAAAGAGGCCTTCGGGATTAGAAAACAATTAGACCTACAAAACTGAAAGCCTGAGAAAAACGCATTTAAAGTTTTTGTAAAGTCATAAAACAAAAACTAATGATGCCCGTAAAGCTGTAATTTTTTAATATGTTATTTTCCAATATATGTTCTGCATTAAACTACTATTTTAATTAAATATGACTGAAAATAATTTTTTTAATTCAAAATAGATTTTTGCGTAATATTGATAGCATTTGTTACGACGACAATTTATTTAGCTTAATCCTAGCCTAATATTTTCAGAAGACCTGGTCCACAAGGAAGACCAAGGAAACACAAATCATTTACATATAAAATAATAATGACACTCAAACTCAGTGACGCAACAGCTCGTGAGGGTCAGGGCCTACTGTGCCCTTCCGTATATACGTAACCATTGGGCGCTGAGATGCATGGGCAGATGTCCCGATCAGGTGGTCAGTTTGAAGCAAAATCCTCTGTGTTTAAGTCCCCAAGCAAGCTTGGTACTCATTCATCTACCCACTGCAGTAGAGATGAAAGGCTGAGAAGAACTTGCTTAGCATGGCAATAATATTAACATAATTTACGCTAAAAATAGCCAGGTTTGTTCGTAAATTTAATTTTTTTCAGTTTTAGGCAGTTTGGAATTTTTTGGTCTTGCTGTACGTCTGTAAAATACTAAAATATAGTACTACAATATGTTTACTATAATGTAGTTTTGTACCTCAAGGATATATTCAGTTTTACCTGCAATACTTGAATTCAGAATACTTGTATTCGTGTCTAAACATAATCAAGCAGAAATGAGTTTAGTAATGAAAATTGGATTTATTAAACATTTCACAGTAAAAGAATAGATTGTGCTCTAAAATAATTTTAATTAGTTCAATTTAAGAGAGGAAAAATGCTTTAAAAAGAAACCGAAACCATAGCTCAGAAAACTTCTAATATCTTAAGGTAACTGTGTCGTCTGCGACAAGGAAAAATGAACTTTTTTTACACCAAATTTAAATGGTTCTCATTTACTTAAATTTAAAGCAACGGAAGTAAAATTTGTGCGATGAATTATCTGTATATTTATTTATCTGTTAATGTAAAAAAATTCCGTTTTAAGTTACAAATAAATCTGTTAGAGCAATAAATAATCAATAACTATTTTTTCATTTTCGAGGCACGTCCTTACCTTTAGATATCTTTTGCATAAAAATCCACTGCATATATTGCTATAAAATTTTACAGAGTTTTTGCAAGCATAACAATCCCTAAAATGAAATTTTAATGAATAAATTTATAAAAATTAAAATTTTTTTTTTAATTTAGTGATTCAAAATTCCTTTAAATTGTATGCAGAAATTGAGCTAGATCTAAAATAATTTTTATTAGCTATATTAAAATTATTTATATTATTTTGAGCTATATCTTATTTGAAAAAAATTTACTTCACCTTGTTAAAAATTTGTGATTATAATAATATGCAAAATATCAGCACTATAGGTAAAGTAGATTTTAAGAAAAGTGTACCGGAATCACCGAAAAATACATTTTGCAAAAATTGCAAATCAAGATATTTTTATCTATGATTTGTAAAATAATATTTTTTAATACAATATAAAGCCTTAT